AATTCCAAAGGAAGATAGGCTCTCTTTCAATTTGTTTTGGCGAATAGAGAACTTTTCTAGATTTCAATAAGGAGTGGTAGATTATACGAGAGCACCAAGTCGAAGTCATTTCGTTGTAGATTGTCAATTTGAAGTTTGATAATGATAATGATTATTCATTTATACATCACTCCACATCACACTACATCATCAAAATCAACTCAGCTGTTACAAACATAATCGTTACAAAAATATACACCTGAGAGAACTCTTGTGTGTCAAGCTCTGTAATTCGCTTTTATTTCATATTACTATTACAATATTGGTTATCTACATTATTTAACTCTACAAAGAGTAAAAAAATGTTGATTAATAAGCATAATGCCCACTTAATCTAATCAATGAAACAATAAGTAAGTAATGAATGCTAGCAGGAAGCTTCCTATATTGTTAAAGAAGGATAGAAAGGATGTGTAAAATTCATATTGAGTATGTTATCAAATGTTCATATTTGTTCACTATATATTTTTTCATGCTCATTTTGGATTTATGTTCATTCAATGTTTTCATGCTTTGAGGTAGAAAAGTAGAAACAATGTTTGTTAATACCAAAATAGACTCCGGAATAGCTCACTATACCGTTTCAGCACTAACCAAACCGATTTATCAAACGCCTTGTCACGTGTTTTGCTAACTATGTTAGCATCTTCAGGAGGAGATTAAAACAGTTTTTACCTTCTCCTGATGATGCTAACATAGTTAGCGAAACACATGTCGCGGCATTCGATAAATCGGTTTGGTTAGTGGTGAAACAGTATAGTGTATTATCATGCCATAGGTTGCAGTCTTCGATATATCCGGAATAGCTGGCTATATCAGACGATACCCATCGAAAGTTTCATACATTCATTGTCCGACATATACGGAAAGTATTTCTCAATAACAGGATTTGTGAAAGTGAGATAAGTGGGTGCATCTGCGGACCATATTCGAATACTTGACATACAGAGTGTCCCAGCTAAAACTCGCCACTCCTCCGTAGTCGTTGAAAAAATCGAAAATCGCTCGAGCAGGTCGACTTCAATTTGGCGGGAGACATATTTTTCCACTTATACGTCTCTTTCATTTGTGGAAAATGGAATCTCCACGGAAAAAAAGGAATTGTTGAATCAAGCAAAATTTAATTGAATGGAGCAAATAAAAGTGTCATATATGCACGTCAAAATATAATCTTGAAATGAGTAAATCTATATCTTGTTTCAGAGCGAATTTGAAGTTTAAATCAAGTAAATTTCTCTTGCATGAACTCTGGATCTTCTTCAATCAAGCACATCCATGAATTGTTTATCAAGAGATATTGAATTGGCTCGAACAAACATTTTGTTTCATTCAATTTAACAAGATATTGATTCAATCAAATATTCAGTTGATTCAACGAAATATTTGGTTGATTCAAAAAAATATTTGCTTGATTCAATGAAATATTTGGTTAATACAATGAAATATTTTGTTGATTCAAGAGAAACTATATATCCATACGACAAATTGTTTTGTTGAACCAAATTCCATCTTCGGGAATTTTCTGAAATTTCACATCAATAGAATAAACAAAACTAGGAAACTAGTCGACTCCTAGCATAGATCTTTAGTCTATACTTCTCTTTAGCTGATGGAAAACTATTTCGGATTGCTAATCATCCTAAGTTCGATTCATCCAGCTGATATTTCAAAAACGAAGAATCAGGCTTCACGTATATAATGAACTCGAGGCAGGCATAGACGAGGCGAAATGATCGCCATCTAGGGGCGAAAATTCAAGTTGATGGAGAATGAACAAAATATTTCATTGATATTACATATTTCGTTGCTCTATTCAAGCAAATGATCCGTTCGAAACGAGTTCATTGATACATCGGAATAAGACAACTTGTATGTTGTTTCAAAGATATATATTCTCATCAAAATGATCATAGTTTGATCAAATCAACGAAATGTTTATAGTTGAATCAACATCGACATCATTTTGCATCGACATAATTTGTTTTTGAAGGAACCATATATTTTGTTAATGGAATTGATATTATACTGTTGATTCAATTAGACTACATTTTTGATTTGAACAAGCTGCTTCCATGGAATAATCATGTATCTGGTTGATTCAACAAAAAATTGCTCGGTCCAACAAAAATAACTCAAGCATAAATAATTTGTTGATGCAACAAGTCCTTTTTTTCCGTGTCGGAATAATTTTCAAAATTTCCATAAAAATTTTCGGAAATAATTTGACCTCTAGTGGTATTACAAGTGAAAATTCCGATTCGGCGTAAGCATCACCTCTTCCTGTGGAAACTTGTCGGTCACCACCGACCGAGCCGATCCTCAACAGGACAGGACGCACAATTAGATAGACACAATTTTGAGCAATCGCCCGCCATATAACAGTTTTCTGAAATTTTGGCGCAAAGGCCCTTTCCTCATGAACGATGTTGGAAAATCAATCAGCTTTATTTCCGTAGCCGTTTGAAAAAACCCCATGAAACTTAGAATCGTTGGATTAGTAACCATAATCACTGACCGATTATGAAATAAAATACAGAATATTCCATTTGGAAATCTGAAGTTGATGCCCGTTTCACTTCAAGGTTCCAACTCCGGAATATAATAATGGGGAAGACCACTGAGGGAAGAAATCCGTGCAAACCTCTTTCAATCGACGAATCATTATTTACGTTTGATCTACAATCAATATTATGAGTTGAAATTGAAGGGAATCGAATCTATATCGTTTTGAAATCAGCATATTTCATTCGTTATTTCGAAAAGCCAAATATGATGGTGGAGCCGTGACGTATTAGTCCCGCACTGTATAGCTATCTCTCTCTGATACCTCGTCATTCTGCAGTGTTGCAGTGTGATTGGTGAGTTCAAGGACATTAGGCGTGTTGGGACTAAGACGTCGCACCAGTCTCACCAATGAAGTGACGAAATTTCAAATGGCGCAGAAATTATGTGTTTTGAAATGGACATATTCTAATTTATTTTTTCATCGTCTTAGCATGATTGAAAAAATTCAAAATTAATTCACTGGTAGTTCAGTATATTATAGAGTTCACGATAATGTCGTTTCAAAAAATCAGTGGTCTCCCCCATTACAGAAAAATGTTTTCCCTACCAAATTAAAATGACAAGTTTTAGCTGGGATATACTGTATTTCATAAAACTTTACTGCTTCTCAAGTAATGTAATGAATTGACGAAAAAAATGTATCTCTAGTTATTGTCTACATGGAACAATGAACTAACAGGTATTGCACGTATAATGAATCTGGTTCACTTTCATCCAACAATAGGTACCTACACCACGCCTATTCGATTACATGAGCGCAAGAGATAAATCCACAAAATGATACGATATCAAGCATAGAGTTGAGCTCGTTCAGTTACCGAATTGAAGAAAATATTACAGTCCAAGGCAAGATTCACGAATAAGGCCTGTATTTTTCAACTATTGGAAATAAATAAATAATTATCGTGTTTATACAAAGCTATGCAGACTCAATGGATAAACTGGCACCTTCACCAAACCTTCAAATTTCAAACTGGTTCACAAAATTTAACAGAAAAACGACTCACCGATATTAAAGAACTTTCAACGTCTTTACGTTTACGGAATGTGAACAGAAGCTATACACTGTATACAAGGCGTTTCCAAGATCAGTATCAAGACCTCAGCAACTTATTTTTCAGGTCAAAACTGAGACTTTTCTCCCTATAAATGTGAACCCGGTAACAGTTCGTTAACGATATACAGGGCGATGAAGTTTTGAGATTTTTGCATTTTCTAGCGCACAATCAAGGTTCGTTTAGAGATCAAAATAAGTAGATTGTACCCAATTTATTCATATATCAAAATGTACCATTTGTTTGTGAGAAGAGTTCTGAGTTTACATATTTTCGTTCTCTGTTCAGAAACGGGGAAAGTAAATTTAATGAAATTTGACATAAGTGCATTTCGAAGGATAACCCTTCTTTGAGTAATCAAAAAAACCAAAAGAAATTGTACAAGGATCGGAACTACCCTTACCCCCTAACAATCTTAAGGGTGGTGAGCATATCAACAGAAATAATAATAGCGATCACTTTTTCCTCTCCATACTACACTGCGTTTGACTTGATAATCAAATAGAGGTAAACAATATCGTTAAAAACTATTGCTTGCCGTGAATATTCAAAAACAAGTTATCCATCCCGAGAATAACGAATTAAATACAAATCAAGCAAGTAGGTTTGTGAATCTTGAAGGCTTTCCTGATCAAAACAAAAGTACTCAACTGAGATGTTCATAATTTCTATACATAACTATAATAAGGTGTATTCATATCTCCATTATGGGTATGAAATGTCAAATCTGCCGAAATCGGAAACAAATCAGGTATAAGTCCCACAACCCAAATAACCTACCGTTGTTCATTCTTGATGACGCTAGTACATCTTTTTAAGTTCAACTCTAGCTACTAGGAGCTAAAGTTCAACTTTAGCTCCTAGGAACTGAATAGGTTGCCTAGCAACATACCTATTTTTGTGTCAGTGATAGGAACGTCAATTTTAGAGCTAATTTTGGTATCAAAATGGACGACTTCTGTGTCGGTTGCAGAAAAATAACTATTATGTTCATCCAAGCGACAGCCTGCATGCGTAGCACAGACAACACTTCAGGTGATGATTAATTATGCTGGAATGCCTTTAGTTTTGATTGCCTAGATAAACTAGTCAATTTCGTTGTATAAATCAAGCAATTAGTAATTAGACCAGATCAGCTGGTCTATAATTACGTGATATCAACTGTTCCATCCTTAGATGCGTTATCAGATGCAAAAGTGCAAAAACTAGTTCCATCGAGAAGATGTCTTCGATTTATTTTAGTCATTGCGAGATGCGATCTCGAATTAGATAGGGTGGAACGCCACACGATAAATCCATGGCAATGGTTGATTTGCGAGGAAAGATTAGGAAAAAACTTACCGTCACTTGCAGCCATGCTATCCATACGACCAGCGGCAAAATAATTTTCATTTTTGCTAAAAAAAAAGAAAAATTTGTAAATTATTTACCCAGTATGAGAAAAATTCATCTCAGAATATTCGCATGATGATCAAAATGACTGGTCCAGGTATATCACATACTGGGTGTTTTCGAAGTTGAGTCAATCATTTTAACAGCTTGTAGAATTCAGAAAGAGACGAAGAGAAATATACTGTATTGTCTAAAAAAACAGATTTTTTCATTGACAAAGCAACATAGTATTCGAAATTGAATAAACGTTTTTCAACATAACATAAACATATACAAGTAGATTAATAATATAGAATGAAGAAATGAATGATGATTAAAACTTAATCTTCTCCTGAAGATGCTAACATAGTTAGCGAAACACGTGTCGAGGCGTTAAAAAAATCGGTTTGGTTAGTGGTAAAACGGTGTAGTGTATTATCGTGCCAAAGGTTCCAGTCTTCGATATAGGGTTATTTTGAACTATTACGAAGATATTTGCGTTCTAAGTTTCCATTTGGTATACTTGCGTCCCACTAATTTTTGGAATCCGATCTAGAATGACTCAGGAAACACAGCATTGGCCGTTTTTGTGCACTCCTCTGTATGTTGAAGTCATAGCAGAGTTTCATTGTAAAATTCCCCAATATTATAGTAGGCTCCTTTCATAAGGGCATCTCTCATAAGTTTTTCAAAATCTACCATGATATTTCATTGTTCTGGGTTCAGAGGGTACATAGATATGGTTGAAAGTTAATTCACCAAAAATCGTTTCCATAAAAGTTGCATAATGAGAAAGTTATAAATAATATAAGATTTCAAGTACAAAGTCTCCAAAAATTAGGAATTATCGGTTATAATTGCACAAGAGCACACAAATTACTAATAATTTTGCAAGAAATCGTGCTATCTAAAAATTGCAAGTTTAATTTCATATTTTGGCGAAGGAGAAGGACTCCTTTACAAAATATGAGAATAACCGAATGCAATTTGTATAAGATAACAACCTCGAATACTGAATTATCTGGCCATTTCAATGAACGAATGTAATCAGAAAATTCCACGAATAAAGAAATTCTCGGAAAAAAATTATTTTTTTGCATGGAGCACTAACCAAAATGCAACATTTCTCTCGCTTTTTTGAAGTCTATCTGACATTTATTCGTTCTGGCAGTGAAAGCTTCGCTATGCTGTTTAATTAACGCTGTAAGTTTTTGATAATTGAATTATCTTATGGGACATTTCATGATATGAGGAAAGAATTTGGTTAAATACATGCTGTTCTATAAAAAAATTTTTCGAAATTATCCTTGTGTCAGACGTGCATTTTGTTGGCAGTATCAGTAGTGAACAAAGAAAAATCTAAGTTCTTATACCAAGCAGTGAGTAAATAGTTTATCAATTTCGAGTTTATCGAATAATTCTTGATTGCTTGATTTGGAGAAATCAATGAGAACAAACTTTGGTTAATTCACTTATCTTCAATAGTTTTGGAAGCGATTACATATTACCACTTTTTTTTCACATTTTTGACATTTTACTGGATATTTGTGATGTGATTTCAATCACAGTTCAATGAAGGACTATAATTGATGGAACAATCAGCAACACTGTAATGATGATAGTATCTTGAAAATTTGTTCAAGGATGTGTTGACCTGTTTCACTATTAGTTGGGGACCACCTCATATTATGTTTACCTTTTTTCGAATTAAGTCTGATCATCGTATTCAAACAAATGCCTCCATTAGTTATTAATGGTATGTTATCGAATGTGGTAACTATTGTCTGATATTTTGATACTATCAATTAAGTAGGTATACTGAATTGGTAATAGCTCTACCCAAAAATTTTTTCTAGAATTCTAACACGCTCAACCCAAGAGGTATAGAAAACTATAAAGAGCCTATCATATCGTTGAATACAGTTAATAACAAGGAATGTAATATCATAATTATATTCCTGGCGAATCCGAAAATATAAAACGTGAAACGTGAAACTCTAAGTCATCACCACAAGTTTAAATATAAATTATTGAAAAACTAGTTTCGGGTATATATACCCATCTTCGATCTCATTTAACAAAAAACATCAGGAGATAAAGGAAGTATTGCTGCTGATGTAATAATTTTTTCATCTCCCACAATTTCTTGTTCAATGAGACTGAAAATGGGTATATTTATGTACCCAAAACTAGTTTTTTGATAATTTGAATCAAATCTTGTGGAAATGACTCAGAGATTTTCTTCCTGCGGAAATACAAAGAGATTATTATTTTCTCAAAAACATCCAAGGAATGGGGAAATTTTCAATCCAATTTTTTTCGATGACTGTTCCAATTTAGAATAGGATTATAGTACAGGAACATACCTACATTCGAGTTCAAAAATGTGATACAAAATTGGTGATTCCAGTTTGAAAAAATGAAGATGGTTTTACTTATTTTTGGGTTACCATGTATACATAATAGTACCTTCAAGAAAAATAAATCAAGAAATAGAAATCGACGTGTGACGTTTGTCAAAAAACTAACCTCTCAATTTCAATTGAATTTATGAGCATTACTTATGGCAAATACTGTATACTATAAATAACAGTATATACACTGTGCACCAATTTGGAATGAGTCATTTTATTTCATTGAAGCACCATGAAACATATTTCATACAGGATTATATGAGACCGTTCGAAATGATGTTACAGTTGGGAAATTTATTATCATTATCCTTTTGCCAATATAAATTAAGGCTATCAGAATTGGTTTCCTGAAAGGCTTTAGGCGTGCAAACCGTTATACTATTTACCTTATTGCCTTTCACCATGATGTGATGACCATTTGGCAATCAGATCGCAAATCAACTAGACAAACAAGACTTCCTAATGAAATATAGTTATACTTTCATGCAACGTTAAACTGAAATGTCCACTCTTAGCAGGATTCATTTTTACTCTTTTATTATTAGAACTAGCTGTCAGACCCGGCATCACAAGGTTGGTGTACTCATTTGGAAAAATATTGTTTGTTGTTAGTTCTTCAAAATTGTTGTGCTTACCTATAGCTTTTATTATTCAGGGTGTATCTGAATGGATGTTCTCTCTTTTCGTTCTCCAGAAACTCCTAATAGGCCATCCACCGTGGATCACCCTGTATATCTCGAGAACGACGCGTTCAAAAGTACATGTTCATATGCACTTTTCTCATTATTTCAATGAGTACAACACAATTCTGAATTTTTTTAATTAAAAACCCGACCACCCTGTATAGTTCGAACTGCATATTTCTGTGCACACAGACAGTATAGTAATGGAGGCTCGCTCATTGAATAATTGATAGTTCATAAAATGATCATACTGAAGGCCATTTTGTTTATCTATTACCTCATACAAGTCGCAGACCATTTATATTTATGTTGATTCTGTCGTAATCGACTATCGACTATATAAATATTGAGAAACTCTAGTTAATGCAAGGTATTCCTCAGTAAGAAAAAATAATTCCATTAAAAAATTTTGATATTCGATGTTATGTTGGACTATGTCCGATAATATATCGAATACATAATGGATAGCTACATAAAAATGTTGTTGCAACTTTTTATAGGCTTAGTAGTCGAAATTAATATATCAATGAGGGACATGAATAGTAAAATGCATTCATTGAAAGTCATTGGCGTATGGAATTCAATAGTTAAATTTCATTTTTCATGGAAAAAGGTCGGAAAAAAAAGTTTTGTTGCACCAACAAAATAATTTTGGTAATTTTGTTTGTGTTTAATTAAACACAATTTTGCGTACTCAACAAAATATATCTTCATTCCAAATAAGCGACCTATTCAAAGAGACAAAATGATTTGATTGAAATATTTGCTTACTTGAACAGAAGTTTTATTTCATTCAACAACATTTATGGTTGATTCAACTATTAACTCATTGTTCAATCAATCATATGCATCTTGTCTATTTGACAAAATCAAATTGATTTTGGCAAAGATTTAACTAAATACAACATCATATTTTGTTGAGTCAATAATCATTTCATTGTGCAACCAATCAAAGGTTTTTTCTATTCGACAAAATTGAATTGATTATGACAACAATATATTTTGTTGATTCAACACATCACTATCAAGAAATATGTTGTTATTTCAAACCGATAATTTTGTTGAACAGAAGCCTCAGATACATTATATCAAACAAATATTTCATTGAATGAATTTCTAGTTGCATTTTCGGCACCAGGTGGCGTTTCTTCCAACTTTCCAACCTTCCAACCCTCGCCTCGATTGGGGTGTACATATACCTATCTAGAACATCTGTTTAATTAATTATATTAAGATGTCCCAGAATTTCTAATGACGCTTATACTGAATAATAGTCATGAATCAACTGAGGAAATTGATCTCTGATTTCTCTCAGTTTTGGAATTCAGTTATTGGATTTTTTTGATATTATTCAACAAAATATTTTGTCAATTCCGAATACAATTGTGTTGATCGAAGAATATATATTTTTATTTCAACATATTTACTCTGAAGAACTGAAAATTTTGTCACTTGAATAAAATGATATGATCATTTCAATCAACAGACTCTGTTTTAAATGAAAAACTGACGAAAACCATTTGTTGCGGTGACAAAATATTTGGTTGTGGATATATGACACTCAGATTTTCTTGATTTCACAACAATTTTTGTAGTGTCAAACAAAATTGTTTTCTGTGTACCTACATAACATCATCATCAAGTTCATTCTCCTCTACAATCGCAATAAATGATTGGTAATAACGAGATTCAAAGAATCCTATCAATTTCTAATGTTTCACGTATACTGAATACTGGATTGAGTTGTTATGTTCTAGCCAGCTACCTTGGCATTATTTCGAAGTTTTACTAGAGTATTCGAGTGATGGAATGTTACATAACCTGATAGACACGTTAGGTTGATGGTTCCCAAGAAAAACACAGCAATATCTGACTAATTTTCCCAAACAAATGCACCATGAAGACTACACGTAAAAACTTAACATGGAG